CCAGGGACCCTATCTGAGAGTGTCACAGGACTGCCCCGGGAGTGAAGTGCAGGCTCAGTGCCTGTCACTTAGGAAGGATGCACTCAAGAGACCCCAGAGGGAATAAGGCCCAACACACTGTATGATCCGTGGCAGAACAGTGTGTCCTAGCCGCATTTTTTTTCTAAGGCGCCATCCTAGTGGTCTGCATCGTTGCTGGGCTTTGTTTCGAAGGGTGGGAGGGAAAGAGATTAGTCTAATTGTTGCAAAGCTCATTTCTTCAAAGAGAATTGAGTCGTTTTCTATTTTAAATAGAAAAGAACCTAATAAAAATATAGACCACACAAAACCAAAAAGAGGTGAACAATCCTATCCACATTATGAAAATCTTCCAAAACCTGAACTCAGGATGAGGAGTTTCTCTTCCAGCAGTTGAAGACCGCAGTAAGGCTGAAATTGGTGCAAGGAGCTGCATTTCTTACAGTCTGTTAGATAGTGAGACAGTTAAACCCAGAAAGAGAAACCCCAATGTTTAGTACACAACAAAGCTGAAAGCCATAAATGTTAAACTTTTGTTATTTTAACTCTCCCCACGCTGGGATATGAAGCTTCTGGTTTTAACCTGAAACCTTTTCAAAAACATTTCAGAACTCCTTATGGAGCTGCTGACTGACACACCCCCTTTACTATAAGAAGTAGTGTGTGTTCATGTATTCACAAAAAGCATATATGTCAAGGGCATTTGTAATCCAAGTAATCTGTGTAGTGTGCATCGTTCATGCTTCTATAGAAATCCCTTGGTTTCCTTTCGTCTTTTTGATGTGCCCAAGAAGAAAAGCGTCTCCATTTAGATAGATATCTTCTAATAGAGTCCTTTCTACTACGAGAAAGGATGTCTCGCACGGCCATGGAGCATGATCATTCTAAGGATGTTGCTCACCCAAATACCAAGCCCTGAGGTGGAGTGGATCAAGGTGCTTGATCATACCATTCCACTGGGTCAGGAGCTTGGGAAACCTTGGGAGGATGAGTGGTAATCTGGAGGACAGGCATAGGAGGCTGGGAAACCAAAGCTGCCTGGGCCAGAAGGGCACGATCAGGATGACCCATACTCTGTCTTGCCAGATTTTGTGCAGAACTTGTGGCAGGAGAGGTCGCAGAGGGAAGGCACAATGGAACTGGTATGCTTTTGCAACGACAGAGTTCAAGGTGGACCCGATGAAGTCCAGAGACTGCGTTGAGGTGAGAACAGTTTCCCCCCCGCAGCGTTTATGCTGACTCCCAGTGCAGCAGCACAGAAGCTGATGCATAAGCTACTTGGTGGAACCTGGCAACAAGGAGCCATTTATAGAGGTAGGGGAAGACAATGAGACTACAACATCTGACATGAGCTGCTACTATCAAGAATATCTTGGTAAAGACTCTGGGGGTGGTCACTATTCTGAGAGGGAATGCTAAGTAGAGAAAACAGTGAGTCCACCATGAATCTGAGGAAGTGTCTGAGAGCGGGATGAATCTTTCCTGTCAAGAGCTGTAAACCACATGCCCTTTTCTAAAGATGAGATTATAAATGCCAACATAACCATGCAAAATCCGAGTTTGGGAATGAAGCAGTTGAGATGGCAGAGGTCAAGGATTGGTCCCCATACATCCTTCTTTTTGAGTACCAGGAAGTAAGTTGAGTAAAACCTGTTCCCTTGGTATTGAGGAGGGACATGTTTGATCACTCCTTGCTGCAACAGGGAGTCCACTGCTGGTTTGAGTATATTCTCCTGAGAGTGGTCCTCAAAGAGGAGGGAGGAGGTAAGGCTAGAAACTCTTATAGTCAGAATAGAGGATGTTCAGCACCCACTTGTCCATTGTTACTGCACTTCCGGTGTTGGGGTGGGGCGGTTGGGGGAGAAGTGCTAAACAACCCTCAAATGGTGGGTGGGAGTCGGGAAGTGTTGGGCTTAGTATTTCGCAACTCTAGTTCCCATCAAAAATAATGTCGAGCCAGGGGCTGAGACTGAGATGCACAGCCTGTTGCAGAGGGTGTGAGGAAGCGGGTCTTTTGAACACTGTCTCTTTCATGGTAGTTCATATGGCTCTGCAGTTTTTCCAACAGAGACCCTACGCCTAGGTCTGAATGATGGGCAGCAAAACTTCCTCTTGGGGCAGACTTGTTCGTGATATGCCCAGTGAGTGGAGTGTAGCCCTAGAATCCTCCAGGGTATGGAGAAACCGGTTTGTCTTCTGGCTGAAGAGCTGCAATTCATCAAAGGGGAGGTCCTGGATGGTATTCTGGACCTCCCCAGGGAACTTTGACACACGGAGCCATGACTCCCTGCACAGGACGATGGCGGTAGCCATAGCTCTAGAGAAGGTATCAGTGGCATCGACGGTGGATTGGAGAGTGGTCTTAGCTATCACTTTGCCTTTGTCTTTCAGAGCTTGGAAACAGGTTCTGTCCTGTTGGGAAAGGCGGTCAGTAAACTCTGCAAACATGGAGTCATTCAAGAAATTTTATTTAGCCATTAGTGCCTGGTAATTGGCTATCCCAAACTAGAGGCTAGATGATAAGACAACGACCTTTCTCCCCAACAGATACAGGCATTTGACCTCTATTGGTAAGCGCAAACCTGGGATGTTACTGTTTAGCCCTTTCAGAAATAGCCTCGACCACCAGTGAGTTGGGAGCAGGGTGAGAAAACAAAAATCCTACTCTTTTGGCCAGCACATAATAAAGCTTCTCTGCCCTTTTGGGGGTCAGAGTACAGGCGGCTGGGATGTGCCAAACTGTCCTAGCTGACTCCAGTATGGCTTCATTAATGGGGACAGCTATTCTGCTGGATCTGGATGAGTGGAGGATGTCTAGGAATTGGAATGGGAGTCCCGGACCTCTTCAAGAGGAATCCGAAGTTCTCCAGCAACTCTGCGAAGATGATCCTGGAACAGTCTGAAATCATTGGGGGGGGGGGGGAAGGAGACATAGGAATCACCCACTTTGTTCAGAGATGAAGACGGCAGTCTTACTGGTTCTGGCAGAACCACTGGATCCAGTGTGTAATGATCCTCCTCCACTGTAGGATCTGGGGGGCAGATCTGAGCATCCCCTTAAAGGGGAGGCAAGGGATGACCCCCTTAGCTGATCGAATCAACTCTGCAGGGGGGTACTGGTCCCAAGTACCCCAGTAGGAGGGGTCACAGATGGTCACAGGGACCCCATGGCCTGGGGTACCACAGCTCCAACTTAGATGAGGTGGAGGTTGATCCTAAATGAGTGCTGGTCTTTCGGGTGGTGGAGGATACATAGGATAGGTGAAAAAGGGCAAATTCGGATTGCAATGGTGGTACTGTTGATGCTTTTGCAGTGGAGCTATATTCTGCAAATGGGACAGGCAACAAACTCCCTTTCAGTGGTCAACTCCTTTGGTGGTGGTGGTGGTGGTGGTATCTCTCTGAAGATGGAGGAGGGGATTCTAGATGCAGATGACTGAAAGTGTTCTATGGAGCAGCAAGGGATTCAAATCTCCCCAGTGAGAGAACGGTTGTACTTCTTTAAACTGCTGGAGCCGGCGAAGACGACTGTGCCTGAAACTGACAGTGATTGGACTTCATCAGTGCCAATGGATCACAGGGTTTGGGAGGCACAGAGGATGACAACAGCAATGGATCATGGTCCGGTACCAATATAGCCCAATGCTTATGGGCTCTCTTATTGTGCCTCTGGGACTTAATAGGTCCTAGCTCCTCGTGGGCTGAGCTGATGGGCTTGCTTAGAGCTGAATCCGGCTTCTCTGAAGTGAATTTAGAGGAAGAATTAGTCTCATGCTTATTAGAGTGCTTCCTAGATTCCCAACAAGATCCTGCTGGAGGGCAGTGGAGGGAAGCGATTCAGAGAGAGTTTCCTGCACTAGAGTTGGAATTCGCTGCAAGAAGCATCCTCCTTGTTGAATCAGGCTGATGTACAAGGGGTGGAGTTGGGGGGGGGGTCCCTGGCCTGTGTCCAATGGGGGCCTCCTGGCTTTCTCAGGTACAGCTGGGGAACAATCAGCAGATACCACACCTCGCCATGATGTGGGCTTCCCCAAGGCAGTGCTGGTGGCCAATGCTGACTCAGAAGGATCGCAGGCAGAAAACGGGCGATTCTCCCAAGAGACTAAATCTACAAGACACCACACTTAAGACTATTTAAAAAAACCCATAAAAACTGTTAAAACTATTTACAAAACTAAATCCAATTCTTATTTTGTAGGACGAAGATGAAGTTATGAACACTGGAGGTTCTGATCCAGACCATGCAGCTGTGAGAAGGAACCAAAGAGGGGGTTGGTCCACTCCACCTCTTATGACCTTGGATAGAGTCATGAGGTGAGCCAACAGAGCTACTTCCAAATTCTCTGGCTCCGGGCACATGCCAAACCCACCTACCGTGGAATACAATCAAGACCATCACTCATAGAAAGACTGTTTGTGTAAACAAGCCCTGAGTTGAGAGCACTGAGCACCTGGCAGATTCAGGTCTGCAATCTCCTGCAAAAAGCAGCCAATAAGTCAAAAGGTCTCTGCAGATAAATCACTTCATCCAAGTGTAGTTAGTGCTCACTAAACTCATATTTCACCCCCGCCCCCAACCCCAAATCACTGAGTTTAACAAGAACCACATTCTTTAAAATTTATTACTTAGGAAGGTATGCAATACTTCTAGCCCCAAAGTCATTTAAAATTTCATCTTCTGTGCAACAACTGACACTTTAAATTCAATCAGTGGGAAAAATGTCAGCAAACATAGCTATAGAAAAACAGTAGAACAAGGTTAAATATACCTGCCCCGCCCCCCTCAAATATGTCTGCTCAGGGACTGAAGATCAAAGGACTCTGACAAGGCTTTGGATAATTTACATAGTTTCTGATCTTATTACAATGAAATTCCCACTCAGGCGTGGCCAGTGTGTGTATATGCACACACACTGTAGATACACAAATGTGTCTGTGGATGTTTGCCAAGTCATTTGTCTCCATGCATGGAGCTCGCTTACTTTTAACAATACTGAGGCCAAAGAAGTGAGGGTCTTTAATCTTCACTAAGTCACAAACTTGCTGGAAGAGCTCCTGTCCGGTGGCTTTTACCTGAAAGAAACAAACAATCAACCCAGCATTACAGGCAGCCCACACATACTGGCACTGAACAATTCTTTATGGTCATAGGTGATCAACAGGCACAAGGGCAGCCAGATCAGAATCACAGAACATAATTCAGTTCTCTGGCCAGGGTTGTTGGGGTTTTTGGGTTGCTGTAAGGTATTCTTGTAGTGTATTCTTGTCTTCCTTCCCCAACCCCCTTTGTATATGCTCTTATCCCAGTAAGATGGAACTTAGGTGCCAGGCTATTGGTATCCTTTTTTAGAAAAAGGATACTGGAACTCTGTCATCTAGAGTATTTATGCTGTGCAAATGTGACCATGTACTGAAACTCTTGCGGTATTTTACTTATTGCCAACAAAACAAAGACATTGTTTAGAAGGAGAAAGAAATTAACTTTTGGAGGGTTTGAGGAATTAGATTTAACCTTTACCTAGGAAGGGGGGGGGGGACAAAAAACCCAGAACCCCCACACTGCACACTCTGAGAGGCAGAGAAGATGGTTTTGATCACAAAGACCGAACACTTCATTTTCAAGGTGGTCTCATGTGGACTGACCATGGGGTTCTTGCCCACTTCTTCATCCCATGCCATGCCATCAAGCTACTTTGCTAGTTCCCTTTACCACATCTTACTTCTGACCAAGAGCAGAATTAATGTCCCTTCCCCACCACACACAATGCCACCTCCAGAAATGTTGCTCTATAGATAAACCACCAGGGATCAGACTTCATTTTCTTTTTCTTTCTTTTTTTTTTCTTAAAAGAGCTTTAAAGTTTACCAGACACCTACTAGCCAGAGGTTGATATAAAAGGGAGATCTGAGCAAGGAAGAAGAGTGGCAACAAAAAGTTTCATGGTCAATTAGTGTGAAGGCAAGGGTAATACCCCACACCATGCATGGGGACTCCCAGCTGGTATTCCCATACTCTTACTACTCCTGCAGCTTTTCTTGGGGTACTCTTCCTCAAATAGCTCCAGCACCCATCTGCATGTGCTGTTGGTCAGAGATTTCCCAGTCAGTAACTGCATGACATGAAACTGACAAGAATCACATTTTATCACCCATGGAGATCTGAACAGCAACAGTAAAGTTATCGAGAATCTTTTTAAATTTCACTGTACAGTGGCTGGGCAAACCTATGAGCAGCAGCAGAGACACTGGAGCTGCCTGTCTGCAAATAGTACAGTTCACATGTGGAAGGTTATCTTCACATTCATAAAGGCAAGAAACAAAAATTTGGCAGAAGTTAATAGCTAAGGTCAGCCATCTAATTAGCACTCCAAGTAGATTTTTTTCAAAACCTGTTATTGCAAACGTATTTATCACTGTTCCTCAGAGCCAGATATATCCCTGTAGGACAGTGGTAGTCAATAGGCAGAGTGCAGGCCAAATCCAGACTGCTAAATGCTTCTGAATGAACCGTAAAGGTCAAATGGGCGGAAGTAGAGCCAGGGCTGCGCGTCTGGAGCTGTGCCAGCTCCCCAGCGCAGGGCCAAGCTGCGGGGCACAGGGCACCCCCAGGTGGCTGCTTGTGCAGCTGCAGCCCCGCCAGCTCTGTACTCCACCAGCCGGCAGCAGTGCAGGGTGAATGATCAGACGCTGAAGTCTGGGCTCAGTGAGTGGGGCAGCAGGAGTCTCTGTGGGTGGAGCAGGCAAGGAGCTGGCAGGAGACTGGGGAGTTATATGCCTAGATGATTCAGTCAGTAGCGCAGCTGGGGGGGGGAGCGGGGCAGCGGCCGCTCCCCCACTGAGCACAAGTGGCACCTTTTTAATTTTTTGGCGCCTTTTTAATTTTTTACTCACCCGGCGGTCTTTGGCCTCGGGTCAGGCGGCACTCCGGGTCTTCAGTGTTGGGTCTTTCACTTGCTCCGGTCTTCGGCGGCAGAATGGGGTCCTTCAGTGCCACCGAAGACCGGAGTGAAGGACCCAATGCCAAAGTGCCGCTGAAGACCCGGAGTGCTGCGGGGTGAGTACAAGTGGGTGGTGCCTTTTTCATCTTTGCTCCCCCTGTTTTCTCCACCTGGCTACGCCACTGGATTCAGCCCTGCAATGGGGAATGTCTGAGGCTTGCTCTGACTCAGGAACGAGCAGCTGCATTTCTCGGTCATTTCAGTCACCCTCCCATTCCCTCTGATCATTGGCCTATTCCCTACCCCTCACCTGAGATCACTGTCCCCCATTCTGTTCTGTTCTTGTGGGGACAGAGTGAAAGTTTCAGTGTCTTGTCACTTTCACTTTCTTTCAGTATCAGAGTCACACTGTCTGTTTTACCACCCAGCCCTATGAGAGAGAGAAAGAACTGAAGCTCCAGTCTACTGCCTTTCCCAGCTGAGATATGAGTCAGAGGCTCAACAGTTAAAACTGAAAGCTATTCAATTACTGGTAGCACAGAAATCTGCCCTCACTGAGAGCTTCATCTTTCATCAGTGAAGTCCATGAGAGTTTTTTTCACTGACTTTAAAGGGAGAAGGATCAGATTAGGGGGCTGTGAAACATTCTGTTTTGACAGGAGTGTGACCACATCTGAATAAACTGTGGCATATCAGATTTGATGCAGTAAACTCAGATTATTTGGCTCTTGATCCTGCAGGTGGGATCAGCATGCAGTTTAATAGATGCCTAGCAGATAAATATAAATATAACAGGGAACAAAGTAAAACAAATAACAGAAAACCGTTGAACTCGTAGAAACATTTTTGAACAAAGATTTTAATTGAAAAGTTGGCTTCTCTGAAAGATGAAGTAAAAAAAGTTGATTTTTCCTCAACTTTATTTGTTTGCAATTTTTTTTCAAAATTCTGTATTATCATAAACATTAATGAAATGGTTATGAAACACATTTGGTTACTGAAAAACTCAGATTTTCATAAAATGAAAACATTTCTATACTGTGTTTTGATGTTAAATTAAACACACAGCAAGAAATTGTTCAATTTCAAAGCTAGTGAAATGGTGACAACTGATCTTTGTGAACCAACTCTTTATTTTATCAAGTAGTAAAAAATCCAAATAAGATAATGTGGTAATAGAATAAAATTACAATAAGAACTGATGAGTATAATTAAATAATAATATAACACAAAGTATAATAAATAAAGGCCTGATCCTGAATACACTTATTACCAGATATAGCACTTAGTACCTTGGGCCCCAATCCTGAAAATACTTATGCACATGCTTAATTTTAGTATCATGAAATCAAGGGGACTTCATGGTAGTAAAGTCAAGCATGTAAGTGTTTGTAGAATTGGGTGCTAACTTAATTTTGGCCATAATCCTGCAAAGACATAAGCACATGTTTAATTTATACACTCTGACTAGTCCCATTGCCTTCAGTGAAGCTACTCAGAGTGCATAAAGTTAATCATGCATGTGCATCTTTGCAGCGTAAGGGCCATTGTCTATTCTAACACCCCTTCTTTCAGAAAGCCCAGCTTCACTGTTGCCTCAACTGCATTTCTTCCCACTCCCCTTCTTCCTTCCTTTTGAAACCCTGTCCTGTGAGCATAGCATAGAACTGCATGGGTTAACAGTTGGGACCAGCAGTGTTAATGTTATCAAGAAAGAACTGTATGTCCCCCATGTGCAGATCCAATGACCTGCTGGGTTGAATTTATTCATTCAAGATTGACACACAAAAATTCCTCACAATACCCCAAACCTCAACTGGTTTGATATTATTTTTCATTTAATGCACTAAAAATATAAGCAATATCCCCTGGATATATTACACAGCATTGTATGTTTGTTGAACAGGGGCACTTGCAGTGTGAAAAATGTTTTTCTGGAGTCTGGAACTAGACTAGAACTTGACCAAGGAATTTGGAACTTGCCCCCCACCCCCCCCAAAAAAAAAAAGACTACCCCTGCTCTAGGACATATTAAGTGTCTTCCAGCCTGGGCAGCAGGAGGTCAGGGGTCATTCCAGAAGCCAGTTCTATCTAAAGAACACTGGCTGGCTAGTGATACGGTGTCAGTCATTATCACATTACCAGGAGGTATGAAAATTGCATTAGAGGGGTGCCTTCTGATGTCAGACAGACAGGTAGGGGCGTGGGGGTGTTAACTGTACAATTCCTATTAGGACTAGTGACTGAGGCCTGAAGTTGAGAGAACGCTCCTAGGTATGGTATTTGCTTAGCTCATTATCATGTGCAATCAAGAGGAAAGAGCTAGTGTACTGAGGTCTGCATCCTCTCCACCCCCTGCAAAACAGGGCACGCACACATACTACTTGTGACCAGTCATTGGGGAAGGGCTGTTCTAATGAAGACTGCTGGCATACTGGTAACGAAGAATACATTTCACAGACATACACATACCAGCATGCATTATATCAATATAATAGACACATTTTAAATAATTAGCGTATTTACATACTTTCATATTCAAAACACTACAGAGAGAAACAGAAGCCTGTTAACGTACTGAAAGAAAAGGAGGACTTGTGGCACCTTAGAGACTAACCAATTTATTTGAGCATGAGCTTTCGTGAGCTACGGCTCCAATGAAGTGAGCTGTAGCTCACGAAAGCTCATGCTCAAATAAATTGGTTAGTCTCTAAGGTGCCACAAGTCCTCCTTTTCTATTTCCGGATACAGACTAACACAGCTGTTACTCTGAAACCTGTTAACGTACTGAGTTCTTGAAAACTGAACATGTGAAGGTAAGTGTTAGAACACTTTTGAAGAGGGAACTTGATCAAATTACTTACTTAAATGAACATAGGCTGTCCCATCCACATCACTCATCTCTTCAAATCCCTCAATTGACTCTCGCTTTCTGTATCAAGTTCATATTTCTCATCTTCAAGGCCATGCACTTAGTTTTGGTAATGCTTAAGTTTTTGTTCTCATCTCCTATACTCCCTCCCTTGACATGTCTTCTTCCCGACAACTCACTTTGCATTGTTCTTCCAAGCCATTCTTTATGCCTGGAGCTCACAATCCTAGCTTGCTGTAGTATCCAAGCACCTAGAGTAGCATGCATTCTCCCTCGCCTCAGAAAGCGCAGGATTCAATTCTCCACTGCTTTGCCCCTTGTTAGTCCTTTACAGCTCATCAAAAGTTGGTGTAAAATGTTGCCAAATGAGAATGGTGGTGTTTTATATGCACTTTACAGAGGTCAGTATCTTCACAAGTTAAGCCCCGAAGCTTCCCTGAAGCATGTTAACTTGAGTCTGCTGAGCTAAGACAACAGATATGAGCTTTTAATAAAGCCAGTGACAGTGTTAAAACCTTCTTCTGTCACCTAGTGCATTTTAAGTTGTACCGTTTTGTCTACGGTTTAAGCAAGCTCCTCAAGGCACAGACTAAGTCTTCCTATCTAGGCTCCTTCTCTGCCTCTGTGCCCAAACAACATCCCTCCCTCTCAGGAAAGATCACTCCCACTTTGCTTCAATTTACACAGAGTGCTTAGCAAGTTCCCCTATGGTTTTGTTCCTTAAAGATTTCTCAGCAGCCTTTCGGGAGTTAGCATTTTGGAAATACTGCATCCCTGCAACCTATCCTCTCAAATGTCAAATCTTTTATATAATGAAGGAAGAGGAAGATTCTAACAATGTGAACTTGGAGACACTTGATTGAGAGAGGGAAGGGATTTTCTTTTTTAAAGCCACATTCTTTTTTCCCTTAGCACTGTGATGGGGTTTGTTGTTTTTTTTTTTAAAAAAAAACATTGACAACTATTTTTGCATGAGTACAAACCCTACCCCATGGATTTAAAATATGAGCATATAAAATGTACAGGTATATCCTCATCTTGATGGACAGGATATATTGGCACCTCTTAACAGAAGTAATGGGAATTATATGCATAAATCCCTTGCTTATGAAGTGGAGAATCTGCACTTCAATCTATTGAAAAGCTAATGACATGCACCTACCTCACTGGGCTTTCGTGAAGATTATTTAGTGTTTGCACAGTGTATCAAAAATGTGACGTGCTATGCAAGTCCTGAGCTGTAGCCTTATTATAGCAATGAAGGTAGAAGATGTTATCTGTTGTAGTGCTAATTAAATCTGAACTCTTAAGGTATGTGTTCACTACCAACTTTGTATTTTCAAAGTTCATGTTTTGCTTCAGCCAGCTATTCTTTCATACGCAGACACATTCAAGTACCTTAAGGAAACAGTTTCCATTAAGGAGCCAATAAAACAGGTATAAACAAAAGACTTATTAAAAGGCTATTGACAGAGGATATAAAGTTACAGAACCCCTGCACATCTCTAAAGGTAAATATGTAGAGCTAGACACTTTCAAGATAAAGTATCAAAGGGGCTGCACACAGTTATCCCAACATGGGCCTTCAAAGAGGCTTCAGGAAATGAGACATAAATGGCCGGAAGGATACGTCTGACATTCTTTCCATTCTTGCGTCCACTAAAAAGCTCAACTCTAAAGGCCTCATCTACGCTTATTAAAATTGTATGAGCCTGAAGCGCTTCACGCTATATAGTTTTAAACATGGGAGCCAGACACCACAACCAATTTAAGCACCACTGGTTATGTCTAACCTGCAATCTTGAGGTGTGATTGCAGCTTGTATACACATACCCAAGTCACCTCCAATCTATCTAGCAGGGGCTTCACTGCAGGCTACCCACCTGAGAAATTATCCAGGGTTCCAGGTGGACTTGTACAGCCCATACTGCAGTCACAGCTGCCACAGCCTCACTGCTCTGGTATTCAAGATAGCTAGATTAAAGCTAGTTCAGGCATGTCTACACAAACCGTAATCACACCCCGCAATTAGAATGTGGAGATACCCATTGTCGGTTACTCCTGCTCTAGGCAGGGTTACATGACAGGATGCTTAAAACACCAGCAGATCATCTATATTAAGGCTGCTGGTATTGATAATGCTGGAGGGGGAACAATAGGAAATTTCTGAGAAGCGCCTCTAGTATAGTCAATGTTCAAAGGCGGGAGGGTAGTTCAGCCTCCATTCCTGTTGGATCTCCGCCCACTCTGCTAAAAGCTACCAACAAGTGGGATATTTAGGGTCAGTGGTGATAGAGATTTATACTGGTATGGCCACCCACCCACCCAGAGCTTAAATAAAATCACCTTATCTGGCCTGGTTTTGAACTATTGAAAGTGACGAGCTCCAGAGTCTGTTACCAATCCCCTGATCTACCTAGGCCCTGGGGCTGATTTCTTAGGGGATACTAGATTTAAGTATGGCAAGTAGGAAAATTCCTGTATGGACTTTAAAGATCTTTGCATATTTCTGTATTGATGTGCCTGTTTTCTATAGCTGCATTTGGAATTTAAAAATAAGATTTTAATTTTGTCTCCATTCCACCTCTCCCCCTGCAAAAAAAGTCTAGGAAAAAATAAAACTCTACATAGACAGACCCCCATCTCCAAAATGGACAGTTCATAATTTAGATGGCAAGCTAGACTAAGAAGCTTCAGGCACTGGTTTAGTTTCTCACATATTCCTGATAAACTATATTACAAAGGCAGCTGTGTGATCTAATCATGGATAGCATTCCAACTTGGGAATCGCTCCAGCGAGCGAGACTTTGCTTAAGTCACTTCACTTCTCTTTGTGCTTCAGATTTCCCTACACTAAAAACGGAAGTGACAATACTTTGCAGAGTACTTGGACATCTACACATGCAATTCTCTTATTTAATGGAGTAAAGAAAGAACTATAAAAAGAAAAGAAAAAAAAATCTGCAAGACTCCCATTTACAGAACGGCTTCCAAAAGAAAGATCAGAGCTAAACTGCAGGGTGAGCTGGTGTCCATTAGCACTGCCCGCTGAAGTCCAAAGGTACAGGCATTTCAGGTTTCCGAGAAGCTGGATTTTCATTTCAGTTTGTTACAAAACAATTTGAGAGAGTGAAAGGGAATTAAAAATTAGGTCCTCATTATCAAATGCAATAGGGGAGATTAATCAGACCATCCTGTAAATTTTTGCTAGGCTAGCCAATTACGAAGCAACACACCAATTATGTTAAATCAGCTAATAGTTTTTTGATCAATGGACTAATATGGTACTCTCACAAGTGCAATGAAAGTTAAGCTCAGTCTTATCACTGTAACTGCCAGAGCAGACAACACAACAAACATCTATGAAACTTGCACTAAACGCTCAGAATGAAACTTTTAAACAACTCACCCCGATGGTCACACTGAGCTGCTCTCTGTTGGGCAGAAGGACGGAAACATTCCGATATTCCTGCTGCATCCTGCTTTGCAATAGCGGTCTGCTCATTGCCGAGCCTGTGGCAAGCTTCCCAGACCCGTTCCAGCTGGCTATACGGGCACTCTTCTCAGGACTGAAACCAGGCTCCCTTCATTCCTCACACCTGCCAAAAACATAAGGCTTTAGTGTCATGCTCATGGGAACAAGGCTGGGAGCACTGAGCAACAGGCAGCCTGTATTTAAACAGAATGTTTTTTGCTTCCTTCTAACATGCAAGGTAAACAGAAATATATCAAAAGGCAGCACTGACAGAGTGATAGTCATACGTTATTCTGACATTAGTCAGCCCACTTATTGATTAGCAGTGTGGTCACACTACTCTGGGAATACTAATCTCAGGAAATTTATATGGGACTGGCAGGTGGCACACATTCCTTTTTCCTGACTCATTTTCACGTTGCCCATTAAGAGATGAACTACAATTCTAGCACCAGCATAGCATACAACAGGGGCACTCAGCCTTTAAGCAGCCAAAATCACTTGAATCAGAGATTTATAGAGAGCCACAAAACAATTAAACATACTTAGAATACCAAAGTGCCAGGGACGAGATTATGAAGCAATAGTTAGCAACAAATACCTATGCCACAGGCAACTTTCTGGAAGAGGAAACATCAGAGGAGGAACTTGCCCTTTCCCTAGCTGGTTTATGACCATCGGTGCAAGTAAAGATTTAACCCAACTTCTCAGCATTAGTCCGTCAGTGTAGAAGAGCCTGGAGTTAGTCTGTATTTTCATTTTTTCCTTGGAACACTTTTACAAGACCTTACTTAAGCCCTAAAGGAGAAAAGCATCTAGAGGCCAGTAAGGAGCCACACAGGCCAAGCTCTGCTGCTTTACGACAGTTCTACTGAGACAACTTTCTGTTTAATGGCTGAGCCTAAGTGCCTTAATTAAGCACTCTCAGATTTATAGCGTAGGTGTAAAAACAACAGAAATGAGACAAAAAGAGTGCAACAGTCCAGAGTCTCACATATAGGTATCACACAGAGCTTCAGAGCCAGTTACAGTCACTACAGGCACATGGATGTATAAAAAGCAAACAGATACTCAATTCAGGCACACAAGTTTGGTGACAGTACAGGAGGAGTTCACTCTCTATTTTCGTTCCTTGCAACTTGATTTTGTTTAGTCTAAAGATTCTCTCCAACAGCTAGCTATTGTTTATTTATGCTCCTGGCTGGATTTCTCTTCAGTGCAAGGAAGCATCTCACAGGGCAAATGGCAGCTGTTGATGGAAGGCAAATGCCCTACCACTTTGTACAGCACCAGTTAAACTCCCTTACAGGAGCACATACAATAGTAGAGTAAACTAGGACTGCTGCCTCCTACACCGGCAAACTGCAGACCAACAATATGCAGATGACACCCAGCTCTAGATCTTTTGCCACAGATGCAACCATCGCCATTACAAGGCTGTCAATGTGCCTAAAGGAGATTAGTTCCTGGATGAAGAGTACCTGGGCCCAAACTGAAGCCACGCAACACTGAAAAGATGCTGGTCATAAGAAAAATAATTGAGAAATAATTGGATCACTGTCTTCTGCTTTTAAATTGAAAGCAACTGCTCCCTTCCCCGTTTGTGAATGAATAATGGGAAGCCTCAGTCCTGTTTAACTCATCAATTAACCTAGAAGGCCACACAGATGAAAACAAAACCAAGCAACCAACCAGCTTTATTTCCCCATCAACTTGTTCAGAAACTTTGTCCCTTTTCCCCCAGAAAGATGAGGACTTGTCAGAATGACCCATGCATTGTCACTTCTGTCACACTGTCTGGAGTGGCTCAGGCCTGAGAGAGTGTCTACCTCAGGGCAGAGTGTCATAAAACAGGGCAGACACTCCAAGCTGATGGTGTGTTCCATAACCAGATTTCACCAAGCCAGTAACAAATGTGAACTCCGGAATTACCAGTCTTACCATGGAGTCAGAGACTGTCCCTTGGGCTCTCCAGTCTATCTTTCCACGGTATGCATCTGATGAAGTGAGCTGTAGCTCACGAAAGCTCATGCTCAAATAAATTGGTTAGTCTCTAAGGTGCCACAAGTACTCCTTTTCTTTTTGCGAATACAGACTAACACGGCTGTTCCTCTGAAACCAGTCTATCTTGCCACCCAGACAAAATGAACTTGTGATAATGACAGGTTTTAGAGTAGCAGCCGTGTTAGTCTGTATCTGCAAAACGAAAAGAAGGACTTGTCTCACCTTAGATGCATTCCGATGAAGTGAGCTGTAGCTCACAAAAGCTCATGCTCAAATAAATTGGTTAGTCTCTAAGGTGAGACAAGTCCTCCTTCTCTTTTAGTGATAATGGTCACTTCAGCTAAAAGTCACACCACATCAGGTTGCTCTCAGTCACAAGAGACTTGTCACTTATCCCAGATCAATTGGTACTTCAGATCTTATTCCAAAGACAATGCTGGCAGCCAATTCTATAGTACAACTAACTACAGGATTATTAGCTAAGGGCACATCTTCACCGTCCATGTTAAAGCGTTGCCGCAGCAGCACTTTAACGTGGCTTGTGTAGTCGCGGCATAGCGCCAGGAGGGCTCTCGCTAATAAAAACAAACCAAACACACACACAACCCACCTCCACGACGGGAACAGCCAGCAGCGCTGTCTAGACTGGCACCTAGAAGTGCTGAAACTTGCAGTGCTCAGAGGGGTGTTTTTTTCACACCCCTAAGCGAGAAAGCTGCAGCGTTTTAAAGTGCCAGTGTAGATAAGCCCTAAGAAAAGGAAATGAGAGTTACTGAGAGGTTAAAGCTGGTAAAGTATTTTAAACAGGTGAGTCACGCTTTGTAATTCCAAATGGTGGCAGTGATGTAATAAACTGCCAGTTGCCCAAAAGTCTTTCTGAGTACCCACTTTGTCTCTGGCGATCTTCGCTTTGTATCTGGTATACTTCCCTGTAAGAGTCCAAACAGTCCAGAGATGAAGGATCTTTCCTAGAATCCATATATTTATAGTCGCTGCTGACAAAGCAGGCTGACAGCGTCTCTACCCATGTGGGCTTTTCCTTTGATGTCCAGTGAGTGAGGAATGCATTTTGAGTCATTGACCTCCGGTAATCACACACAATGGCCACTTGCTTTGAAATTAGCACTTTCTGTTAAAGACCTTCCTTAGCATTCCATAGACTTCTTTGATGGTTATTTAGGCACAGGGGTATTTCCAATGTAAACGTTTGCTATTGCTTTATAACAGGATACATACAAGTGAAATCAATGCAAGAAACGTTCCATTCATTTTAATAAAGTTTAAACACCAAATACACTTATACCTTTAACAAAAATCGCTTTGATCTATACAGTACTAGTACACAAGTGAATTGGCCTGAATACACTCTGACATGACCTGGTATCTGGTCAGTCAACATTACAACCACCAAACTGGATTATGCAATTCACTGTACGTTGGTTGAAGGTGGAAGCAATGCCAAGGGCTCCAGTACGTGGGTAGCCATGGCCTTCAGTAGAACGGGCTGCCAATGGCACATCACCCCTGTGCTCTGATCACTCCACCAGCTTCCAGTCTAAGGCACTAGCCCTCAAGAGGCAAGATGCAATAACCACGTCTCTATTGATGACCCAGCAAGACAATTATGCTCCTCAGTGACAATGCTGCTCACAGAGCCCAGGTCAGTCCATGCAGAAGCCAGAGATAAATGCTTCTCATTTAGGAGGGCTTAATGTGGGTGAATAAGCTTCCAGAGGAGGTCAGACTCATCCAGAGCACGATGTAAGTCCTCCTATGTGGACAACGCTTTCCTACCATCAGTGGAACAATGGCAGAGGGACAGGAAAGAAAGAAGTTATCCAAAAGCAGAGCTTTTTTTTTTTTTTTAACCAGGGCATGGAAAAGAATGAAAAAGTCCACCAAAGAGCTTAATTTACCTAGGAAGTATTTAGATACTAAAGCAGTCTGCACTATAGAAAATCCTAAAATAGACAGGGAAGCCCCACCCAGAGGGCTCCCGTGGACTCTTCGTTTTGGCCCTGAAGGCTACCTTTATGAGTGTGACCACAGTGACTTCAAGGTAACATCAGAGACGGGAACAATGGAACTAAGAAAGGGGAAAAACCAATGAGCAACATCTGGGAGCGGGGTAGTGGCAGACCTCCAGCTCACCACTCTTTGGCTGAAAACACAGACATTGCTTTTTCTGACCCTGAAAAGGAGCCATGAAAAGAACCTCTAACTCATCATGACCCAAACCTACAGTGGGCCACATGCTATCTCCCCCAGTGTGCCAGAAATAATCCCCCAAAGTCCTGGGAAAAAGTGATCTAGAATGAAGCATTTGAAAAAGAGTTAAAGAAATACAGTGACTTCCACTCTCAAGGGTCTTATCAGTGCTTTCATGAGCTTGTTTAGAAGTACGATGAGCCTCAGATTAGCGATTCCTGGCATCCCAAAAAGAGAAAACCCAGGATACTTTTAGAAATACAGATTCACACCATGGGGAAAACACATTGTATATTCTTTAAAAATAAGAGTGGGAATTTTGCTCCAAAGTTCTCTTGAGTGCAAGACCCAAAAGCGAAACTCCTGCAAGAGAATAGCCTCAAAGATAAAGAATTACAGTAAGCAATTTAATCCACTGCGAGGTTCTACTAGAAGTTTAAGACAGATAGTTCTAATGTGATTGAACTAAATACCCTAAAATCACTGCTAACCCGTTTTTGTTGAGTATTAAGTTTATGCCTTGTGAATCACAAATGCAACGCTTCCCTATTTTTACTGAAATGTAGAAGTTAAGCATCAGAACAAGTGACATTTAAGCTACTTATCACCTTATTGCTTGAAGTTATTGCTGTGTTTCCCTTTAAAAAAAGTTATTCTTGCTCATAGTAAATAAAAGATTAACATTAAAACTAGTGATTCTGAAAGGACCATTTCTTTTTTTTTTTTAAATCAAAGAATGATTTGAGGTTGCTTTGGTACTTTAAATCAATCCATCCAAATATTGGGTAAAGAAAGGAGTAGTGACATGGTAGAAACTAACTCCTCTTGCAGAAAGCACAAGGATATCTTTAATACAATAGTTTAAAACAACTGCATGTCTCATCAAATGGATATTTTTAATTTCACAACTAA